GGGGTGTCCTTGTGCAGTCATTCATTTATGCTGACTAGGGGAACTTGTGCTGCTGTAAACCACCAGTACGTTTCCCGGGCAATTTGTTTTGCCTGACATGGCATGTGTAGTGATGTTCAGGAGCCTGGATCACCTTTGATGAATTTCATCAATGCCCCCCGACCCCCGAAAGCCATGGCCCGTGGTGTGTCGGAGGAAACGTACTGGTGGTTTAAACTTCGAGCTCGCAGTCCTGAATACACTAAAAACCAATCATGACTGTGATCAAGAGGAACTTGGATCATTTCCTTTCACAAATACCAAATCTTTCTCTTCTTTTTTTCTTTTTTTTTCTTTCTTTCTTTCTATGTTTCTTTCCTTCTGTCTCCAGTCTTTGCCCTTCGCCATCTCCGTTTCCCTTTTTTTTTTTTTTTTTTTTTTTTTTCCTTCTCGACATTCAAGTCCGTCACATTGTTGGCCCAACCTCTGGCTGAACAACGGACGGGCTTCCTGAGCCTTCCTGAGGCCTCAGTCACCAGTGCATGGGTTCTATTCGAATTTCAGTGAGCAGTGGTACATGTGAGCCTGGAACACAGTTTTTTTTTTTTTTTATATAAAAGTTATAAATAAAATACAGCTGTCTTCCTCTCATATATAACGGAAACAGCTGTATTTACTACCCTACTTTCATCTTTGAATATTGTGTCGACGTCGCGCTACCGTCTTCCCCCGAATATAACACACATGCATTGTAAACGAATACAGCGCAAAGGTTGCTTTCTATTCGAATTCAATGCATATGCGTTCTATTCACACAGCCCTGATTTTTTAATGCAACGCGTAGGCGTTCTTTTCGCATTTTTGGATTAAAAAAAAAAAAAACTCGAATACAGTTATACAACGCATATGCGTTATGTTGGCGTGAAGCCGGCAGCTACCTACCTACCCCATGTTATCTTCACAAACAGGTCGCTACCGTCTTCACCCGAATAGAACGCCAGGTCATTACAGCTGTATTTTTTGTGCAACTTTCAGTCTAGATACCGTGATAATGACCGGGCGTTCTATTCGGGTGAAGACGGTAGTGTGAGATCGACACACTGTTGAGAGAAGAAAATAGGGTTAGTAAATATAGCTGTCCCCCATATTTCTTGATTTGTGCGTGTCATGATGTCATCCTTTCTTCGTCTCCCATATTTCTTGATTTGCGTGTGTCATCCATTGTGCGGGGGGGCATGCTTACCTCCGTTCTCTGTATTCTTCCAATGTTAATGGATGTCTGGAAGGAAAAGATATACAGAAATTCACAAAAATCTATTACGTTATTTGCCTGTAGGTGGTATTATTGGACTTAATCTTTTTGCTGGGATTTTTTTTAGTTGTAGACAATGATTACTTTCCAATATTACCAACAGAATTGAGTACAAGACTACAAGTGTATTTCAATATACTGTTTATGCTTCAAAAATACAAAGTTGGACGGAATCTGGAAACTTTAGGAAATCTACTTTTTAAAGTTTAAAGTTTATACCACTTATTTTTATTGGTTTCTGGTTTCAAGTCTCGCGACTCGGGAGTGCACGCAGCAGGATCTTTATTTCAATATTGACCGTGATGAATAGGGAGGCAATTTGACACCGAGTGCGCAGGCGCTGGGATCTTTATTGCAATCATAATTCTCCTTCTTGGTTTCTCCTCTCTCAAGTCCTCAGATTCGGTGCTCTAACCCATCGCTCTGCTTCCTTGTGGCTGCACCCCCTCTTTCGAGCTCACAATACTCTGTCGTTTTTTTTTTTTTTTTTTTTTTTTTTTGTTTGTTTGTTTCGATTAATAAACAGGGCCTCTTGCGCCTAGTAATTTGGACTTGACAGCGGTCAATGCGGTTGAGATAGCTTTTAGACGGTGGCAAGGGTATATGGGGTGAAGAAGAGGGGTGGAGTAGCGGTATATCCTCCCGTTTGGGAAGTAGTCCATGCTGGTGACTTCGGGATCTCGTGACCAGAACAGGGAAATTCGCTGTGTGTATACTTTTTCATGTAAGGGACGCGGGGCCTGGTTTCCATTTTTGTTTAATCAACTTTGAAGTTTGAACTTTAAAGTCGTGCCCGTATACAAGCCATGATTTTAGGAAACGTACGGGCCACTACAGGAGCGCCCAAATCCATCCGACTAGAAACGTTTCTACTCTATTTTTTCCCGCGGCCGATAGCTGGGCCAAGTATTGGTGCTTTAATGAAAGTTCTCTTGAAAAAGAAAATAGGGGTCAAGTCTAGGCTCTAACAGAGTGGCCCAGGACCACTTGCCCAGCCGGGCCAAAAAATATGTAGTCGGTGAAACTCCGACGAAACAGTTTGTCACAGCCCCTCATTTGTTCGTTGTCCTCTTCTCCCTCCCTCTCTGCCTACGGTTTACTGGGCAGCTCTGTTTGACGATATATATATATTATATATGTCTTCTTCTCCCTCCCTCTCTGCCTACGGTTTACCGGGCAGCTCTGTTTGACGATATATATCTATATATATATATTGAGGTAGATTATCATTTACAGTGTAATCACGATATATATATTGAGGTAGATTATCATTTACAGTGTAATCAGTGAGGGGATTCTGCAGACTGTTGAGGGTTCAGCCTCCTGATGAGTCGGTGAAACTCCGACGAAACAGTTTGTCACAGCCCCTCGTNCAACCCCTCGTTTGTTGTCCTCTTCTCCCTCTCTACCTACGGTTTACCATGCAGCTCTATTTGACTATATATACATAATACATATAATATATACAGTCAAACAGAGCTGCACGGTAAACCGTAGGCAGACGAAACAGTTTGTCACAGCCCCTCGTTTGTTGTCCTCTTCTCTCTCTCTGCCTACGGTTTACCGGGCAGTTCTGTTTGTGACGATATATATATATATATAAACAGAGCTGCCCGGTAAACCGTAGGCAGAGAGGGAGGGAGAAGAGGACAACAGACGAGGGGCTGTGACAAACTGTTTCGTCGGAGTTTCACCGATTCATCAGGAGGCTAATTGTATTTTCTATTTTTAATTTGGTAAAGAATTTCGGTGTGACCCTGAGGCAAAACTTGTTGAGTTTATTTTTCTGCATAACAGAGTTTTTTTTCCGGATTCTTTTCAATTATTATTTTTTTCTTCTAATTTTGCTGGGACCTTCCCTGGTCCTTGCACGGCCGGACCGCCCGGGAAAACAAGGTGACCCGGGCGGCCTGGCTGGTAGCCTAGGGCCAAGTACATTTATGTCAGAACAGGGTTTCAGAAGGGCAAAAAAATGCACGTGGGCAAATCAAAACAGCCGCTGGGATGAAAGTACCACAGCAGCTGTCAGGCCGGTCGTCATAACTACTGGGGTTGGCCGTGGTCTCAGACGGAAAAAAAAAAAAAAAAAGGAACGACGGATCTATTCCGCCCACACGTGCACATTCCAGTTCGGCGGCTGTTTTTTGTTTCACCTACACGTGTTTTTTGTTGCCGATCCGAGTTTGAAACCTGCTGCGTCCACACTCGTTTAAAAAAAAATGAAGAAGGAGCCAGGCTGATGCTCCCGAGAATACAATTCTCGTCCTCCAATTTTTTTTTGCGTGACGTTTTTTTTAAGTTGATGGAAAGAAATAAGAAGAAGAAGTATCCAGAATGTGACTCGGCGGATGGCTGGCTGCCTGTGTGCATCTGTTTCTGTTCCTGCGCAGATGACAGAGGGCCATCAGTGGCTACTCGACAACCTTCACGTCGTGCCAAAAGAGAACTGGGGGACAGATCCTTTTGGTGTCTCGTCTACGATGGCCTATTTGCTTGAGCAGATGGGGTTTGAGCATATGGTTGTTCAGAGGGTGCATTACGAAGTGAAGAAGGCGCTGGCGCAGAGGCGGAGCCTGGAGTTCCTCTGGCAACAGCATTGGGCTGAAGTCACCCGGCAGCCGATCTCGATGATACTCTGCCATGTCATGCCCTTCTACTCTTACGATGTCCCGCACACCTGCGGCCCGGATCCGTCCGTATGCTGCCAGTTTGATTTCTGGCATCTGCCGGAGTTCTCTGATGGAGCCCCGTGTCCTTGGTCGCCGCAGCCTGAACTCATCGAGGATGCAAACGTCGAGGAGAGGGCTTTCACTCTTCTTGACCAGTACCGCAAGAAATCCTTACTCTATAGAACGAACACATTGCTCGTTATGCTGGGAGATGATTTCCGGTATTTGGATAAAGAGGAGACCGATCTGCAGTTCATGAACTACGAAGCTCTGTTCAAGTACATGAACAATCGCAGTGCTTGGAACGTTCACGCATCTTGGGGTACGATCGGGGAGTATTTCAGAGCATTGGAAGCCGAGGCAGGGAGATCATTGCACAGGAAGTCGGGAGATCGGGGAGGAAGACCACCTGCATTGCCCTCGGAACTGGGCTCCAGGAGAAAAAGGTTGCGGGAGCTGTTTCCCACAATCGAAGGAGATTTCTTCACGTACGCTGACAAAGACAACGAGTACTGGAGCGGGTATTACACCTCTAGACCATTTTACAAGGCATTGGTTCGGGTGATGGAAGAGACGGTCCGTGCTGCGGAGATCTTGTTCACTTTTGTCAGAGGAGGTGGTCCAACTGCGGCGACTCCTGGTGACAGTAGCGGGCAGTATGGGGATTTCCTGTATGGTTTCTACAGTGCGCTCGTCAGTGCGCGGCGTGCTGTTGCCTTGTTTCAGCATCATGATGCAATCACAGGAACGTCGAGAGTGATGGTGGTTTCAGACTATGGAAAAAGGCTCCACGCCACGTCGAGCAAACTCAAACAGTCAATGGCAAGAGCTGTGGAGTTGTTGCTTGTCCGTGTCCGATCGCGAGGATCGTCACTAGGAGTGTCAGACAGAGCTAATGGGCATGAAGGAAGACCGATGCAATCGAATGCATACGCAACCCATCGTAATTCTGACCGGGTTTCACATACGCTTAGAGCGGAGTTGACCCAGAAAGAGTCGACGAGCCTGCTCAGCAAGGAGCTCATTGACGTGCAGAAGGACGCTATGTATCGAGTTGCGATCTTCAATCCGTTAGAAGGGAGCGTTAGCAGAGTCGTGACATTGATTGTGTCTACTGCAGGGGCATGTATATTAGATAAGGATGGCAAACCGATGAGAACGCAAGCGATGCCTGAGTGGGTGCTTGGAGGGTCAAGAGGAGAGACATCTGGACATCAACGGATTAGCTGGCTTGCGGATGTGCCGGCGATGGGAATCGCAACGTACTACGTGATGGCGTGGAGCTATGGGGTGTGCTCCCCACCGCAGCGCGCGAGAATCGAGGTGGTCCATCCACCAGCTGGTTTCTCATGCCCTATCGGTTACCGTTGTGAGACGTTGACGCCTCGGGCCGGCGATCGGGACGAGGATGTGGTAATTTCCAACGCAGACATGAGGGTCAAATTCGCGCCTAAAACTGGAATGATAAGGTCGATGCAGTCAGTGGGAGATGACCGTGAGGCGCAGGTTTCCGAGGCTCTTCTTGTAATGAAGTCTTCAGGAGGAGCGTATTTGATACGGCCTGTAGGTCACGCTCAGCGAATTTTGCGTGAGGGGGGGGCTATGTTTGTCCTGAGAGGGTCACTCTCGGAGGAGGTTTACACACAACCGTCAACGAGCCTTCGCCATGACAACGTTTTGTCGCGCTCTGCGCGACTGTACAAGTCAGGAAGTGCAGCAGTTCAGGCTGCAGTGGTCGAAGTTGAGTACTACTTGAACATGAAGCCTTGGTCCGGATTCCTTCGGGAGAACAAAACGAATTCGACATCGTCTTACGACGGGGGTGAAGATGACTATGAATCGGAGCGCTCCCGCACCGGCACGGAAGGCCTCCGAAATGCAGAGTTTCTTTTGCGCTACCAGACCAACCTTAGGAGCGGGAGGAAGTTCTACACTGATGCCAATGGATTTCAAGCAGTGGAAAGGAGGTACATGACCAAAATCGCCTTGCAGGGAAACTATTACCCCATGACAGCATACATGTTTTTGGAAGGCGATGACGGCACACGTTTCACTGTTCACAGCCGGCATGCTGTGGCGGCCAGCAGCCCGGTCCGCGGGAGTCTGGAGATGGTAGTGGACCGTCGAATGGAGAACGATGATGAGAAAGGTTTGCGTCAGGGCCTCAACGACAACCTGCCTCTACTGCTGACTTTCCACTTGCTTGTTGAGAAAAGCGCTGTAGAAAAGAACGGAACGTCTCTGGGAAACCGGACATCCACTTTGTGGGGACAGCCTTCGTTTCTCTCACACCAAGTGTCCAAGCATCTGAACCACCCTTTCCATGTTTTCATCGGCGAGGAGGATGTGGACATGTTTTCGCGGCACGGCATGTCCAAGACGGGGCTCCGTGGGGACCAGATCTCTCCGGGGGTGTTCTCGCCACTAATCCATGATTTCCCTCCAGGCATCCATGTTGTTTCTCTTAGGGCAATGGGCATCAAGGGCTTCGAGCCAAGTACGAGCGAATCAACGGTTGGAGGCCCATCCGCCGTAGTAAGAAGTCAATCGGCAACGGTAAGAGGTCAATCAGCCGTAAAAAGTCAATCGACGGTACCGTCAGGTCGATCGGAGGTATTGCCTCGATCGATGGAACAAGTTCGATCCATGCCACAAGGTCTGCAAACGAACCGATCGACGGAACAAGTTCGATCCACGCCACAAGGAGGTCTTGAAACAAACCGATCAACGGAGCGAGTTCGATCCATGCCACAAGGTCTTCAAACGAACCGATCGACGGAACAAGTTCGATTCATGTCACAAGTTCTTCAGACGAACCACCAGATGGCGATTATTTTGCAAAGATATGGTTGCGATTGTCGGTACCTTTGGTCGTCAACCGTGAAGGAAACTCCAGCAGATGAGGTAAATAGGATCCCTAACCCTCATGACAGGAGTGTTCCCGGGTCTTATGCTAGAGGACCAATAACTTTGGAACAAATGTTTGACGGGTTCGAACTCGTCGGACTACAAGAAACATCGTTGACTCTATCTGACAGGAATGCACCAACCGAACAAAAGAATTCCAGTAGCGTTCCTGGACATAGTGTTCGTCCAGGTTCGTCACGTGTGGCAGACCATGGAGGCTACAATTCCCAAGGGGGGACACAGCATGCCTCAAGATTAGAAGAGCAAGAGGATCGCTCTCGTTCTCACGAGGGTTCTGTAGTGAAGTTGGAACCCATGCAGCTTAGAGCATACACCTTTGAGCTAAAGAGGAGGCTCTCCCTGTGATGTTTCAAAATGTCAATTGTTTTCCCGATCCACCAATTAAAAATTCATCATAATACTAGCAAATGATTTGACGGGCTCAAATGTTTCCTAACTGGCCGGGCATTGCCGCGTCTCCAGCAAATGTAATGGACCGTCAAATGTTTCCTAACTGGTCGGGCATTGCCGCGTCTCCAGCAAATGTAATGGACCAAATTTCGACCGAATGTGGTCATGAGGCTCCGTCCACTTACATCGAGCAGGATGAGGTGAGGTGTATGTATGATTTCACTTGACATTGCTTCCACATGTTTGTTTTCACTCACATTGGACAAATAAGTGAGGTTTCCACTCCTCTACTATGGGCTTCGCTCCGTTGGGGCGCCCTGCAAGTGAGGCTTTCACTGACACGGTGGGCTTTCGCTCTGTTGGGGCGTGCTCCACCCTTACTCTTTTGTGAGAATAATTAAACTTTTGGTAGCCATAGTTTCCATCGGACAGGAAAAATGCCTACCCTAACTAACCCGACTTTCGCTAAACTCAGGTTATGGGAGGAAAGGGAACTTAAACCACCAGTACTTCCTAAAGTCGTGCCCGTATGTATACAAGCCACAAGTTTAGGAAATGTACGGGCCACTACAGGAGCGCCCAAATTCATCTGACTAGAAACGTTTTCAGTACTTTTAAAGTTTTTAGTACTTTATTTGTTTCGGCAGGCGATATCTGGGCCAAGTACTGGTGGTTTAAGGGAAGTGAAATTTCGCTCTGCGGGCACATGGCCTACCCTTCCCCGTTTGCGAGAGTAGTTGAACTTTAGGTAGGCATTGGCCCTTGCCGCACCACGCACCAAATGTGCAAAATGAGATATGAATCTGCGCCAAGAACGTGGACAGGTTAGGGGTAGGGAAGTGATTTTTGTCTTTTGAGCATTTGGTGAGTGGTGCAGTGAGGCCCATTGTTTCCGTAGAGGAGGGAAATTGCCTCTGCCCTAACCTTTCTTGCACTAATGTTAGGTTAGGGGTAGGGAAGTGGAACGAGGTCCTGTATTTTCAGTGTCATTGTGATAGGGTTTCTCACTTGCGCATTATGTAACGGTTTTGAAATTTTGATGATGTACACTAGATGCGACTAGTGTTTTTTTTTTTGTTTTTTTTTTTGTTTTTTTGTTTTTTTTTTACACATCAGAATTTGTTTCGCTTATATCATGTAGAATCATTGTAGATGTGTATGATTCCACTTAGATGAGGTTGAGGTGAAATGTAGTACGTGCACTAAGCTAGGCTACCAGCCGGGCCGCCCGGGTCACCCTATTTTCCCGGGCGGCCCGGCCGTGCAAGGACCAGGGAAGGACCTAGCAAAAAAAAAAAAAAAAAACCTCGAAAAAATCCCCCCAAAAAAACTATGTTATGCAGAAAAATAAACTGAACAA